TTTTCAAAAAATGAGTCTAACATTGTAATGTTTCTTTATCTAGTGATGTTTCTTTATCTATAAAAACCATCGTTACTTTCTTGTATTTCGGAATTATTGCTTGTAATTGTTCGTTTGTAGTAAGCTATATCTGACAGTTCGTAGTGGACATTTCTATTGTGGACGGCATTTGATCGATATTCATTGGCTCCTTCCTATAAAAAACTTAAAGTTCATTTTACATATAAAACAATGAAAGTGGTATTATAGGAACTGATCTTGAAAATTTTGGGTGAATATATCTGTTCATACAAAGTAAAAAAATGTTAAGGAAGGGAAATAAGCAAAAATCGATTTTATATACAGGTATGTTTGCAACTTAAAAATGATATTTTGTCCCTAAAAACCCCCTATTAAAATGTCACTTTTCATGTATTTAACCAAAACCACACACGTGTTTTCAATAAATGCAATCAAAAAGTAGAATCACATTTGAGTTCTCTCTTTGATATCGTTTTTATATCTACCGATTTCATATACATATAAGTTGTCTCGGTACAGGGTATGGATATTGTATACCATTTTAGATTTATAAAGGAATAAAATAACTAACTTAGAGGTTTATACGTTTTAATTTGGTATGATATTTGAAAAGAAAGTAATTTTTTGCAAGCTGTTAACGATGAAAATTTTCTAGCTACTAGTCAATAACCAAAGAGATTGCGGCCTTGAATGTATTGCTCTGATGTCCGCGGTGTTTTTATAAGCCGATTTATTTTCTTTTATCTCTGGTTACTGATGTGGTGATTTGCCTTCAAGGTACTTTGTACCCAAGGCTTCACGTAAGGCAAAAAGTCCTTGTCTGGAGTAGGGTTAGTTTATTCCCTGCCCAGAAACCTGACAAGTGCCATCATGTCAGGACAGCAGCAACAGTCACAGACTAGGGACACAGGTACGTTTGATTCTAGTTACAATGTTTTTGGCAAACCGTTTTGAAAAGAAAAGAAAAGAAAAGGCACACAATTATTATATTTATCATTAGTGGTTCGAATTGATGTATTGAGGAAGCATTTCCTTGGATTCTGGCCAACTTTAATTTTTTAGTTATGTTATAATCTTAGCTATTTCATTTTTTGTCGATTATTCCGTGATATTCATCTAATATTTTCCGCAAATAATTTCTTTCAATTTCCGATTTTTCACAGGGAATGCATCGACGCAGCATCCTCAATCTCATTGGCGAACGCTTGCAGGCGTTGTTGCGACTATACGTAATCTTATGCACGCCTCTGAAGCAGGTAAACATTATAGTCTCTATCTTTTATGGCATCTTTGTTTCTGCTTTTAAATTCCAAGCTGTTTTAGAGATATATTTACAGTGTTATACTGTGTAATTCCCTCTAAAGGTGCAACAACTACACAGCAACAACGATCTGATTTGGATTCATGTGCTGACACTGCTGCGAGTATACCCAACCCTTTGTATGAACCTTCTGCAGGTAAAGCACTTATAGTCTACATCAGATTCTTTTTCTACATAATTGCTCGCCCAAATTTTGTACAGATGGTTGTATTACATCTTGTAATTTTCCTACAGGTGCCTCACCCACGGAACAACCCCAGACTGATGGTCAGTCTCGTACGGACGACGATGAAAACACACCCGACGCTTCGTCCAAGTCTATAGCAGGTAAGATATTTAAGTGCATCCCTTCCCTGCATATATTTGCATTTTCTGGTATAAATAATCTGTAACCTCGACAAAAAAAAAAACTTTTAACAAATTTTAATTATGGGGAGACTCTTGGACACGTGTTTTGTACGCCTAGCTTTTTTTCATTAAATTATGACTTTAATAACACCACATAGAGATGTAGTAAAGATATATATATATATATATATATATATATATTAACACGATTCTTCTTTTATTTATCTATTTGAAATTGCAACATGTCCCACTTTTCCTGACATTTTTTTTCAAGTCAGGTCAAGTCAAATTTTATTACGATTGTTACAGGTATAATGCATAGCAAAAAATAAGATTACTAGCTAATATAAGTCTATTAGAATTCTACATATTGGTTCGACGGGGACTGTGTCTTGCAGAATGTTAAATAGAACTACCTTCTAGACCTACTCTCTAAGCTGCGCTATACTATATTCATAAAGAGTACAATGAGTTGTTTCTTTTACATCCTAGACAGTGCAAAGGGCATGTGGATTAAGGTGCATCGTAGAAAAGTGATTGCACTGTTCTCTTTGCTGGTGGTCACTCTTGCCATCGTTGCACCTATCCTCAAACTTGGAAAGGAGGTAAATCGGCAAATGCTCCATTTTAATTTGTTTATTCAATCACCATCTTTCTGTTTTTGTTTCGTTAAATCTCTTAAGCTGCAGGAGTTTCGGTTGACCATTGCCCTAGCACTCTTCTACCAATCATTTTTTAGGAACCTCGACTATATTCTGAATGTAGAAACGAAAGCTTGACGCCACCAATAACAGTGTCCGGGACAATATTTAAAACACATTTTTTGTTTATAAACGTCTAACAGAACGTATATCGTGTAAAGAACAATGCCGAGAGGTCCTAACCACAACGAACACTTTTGTTTTGTAAAATTGATATGCAAATTTCCATTACCTTCTTTATTTATCCATTTGCATATTTTATTCACTTGTTTCATATAGTTGAGTCATTAGTTTGCCTTGTCATTTTGAAGCACGTTTACCAATATGTTATTCTTGTAATTAAATTATTTTGTATCTTTGTTTTCCTGTTTGTTACGTAAGTATATTTTGTAAATGTATGTCCATAGGGAACATTGAAAAATGCCCTTGCGGCGACATGTTTTATCCTTGGTAAAAAAATAAATTGTAAATGAAATGAAATGTCACAAACACGATTCAAGTCACCCAGGTATAATACAGATTACATTCTAAATCGGGACTGTCAGTTGTGTTGAAAGAATTGTGATTTAATTATTGTAATTTATTGTGAAACAACTCTCCTTTAGCTCACCCTTGGGTGACAGTTATTCTTTCAGGAGAGGCTGGAGTACATAACATTACAACGCATCAACATAAAACTACATATAGTTACATTACATTTAGGTAATTAAAAGAAACAAATGTGTAAAATCATATACACTTATTCATACCAATCATGTGCTTTAGTAGGCCTTTGTTAAACTCATGTGATTGCACTGTTGATTGAAATCTATGTGGTAGTGGGTTCTAGAATATATAACATGTTTATGCACCATTTTAGGTGATACCTGACTTAAAAGATGGCATCGCGATCGTGTCGGACCTACACCAGTCAAACACCTCATGGTTTACGTTATCCTACAACACAAATGGCTCATCTGTCGTCTATTCCTTCTCAACGACTCCGATTTTTAACACCGGTTACAACACAGATGCCGTGCCGACAATAGCTTTCACATTGGTACCAACCACTGGTAAGATGCATTATTGAACATTTAAAAGGGAAAAATGTCCACCTACATGAATAAGATGTTTCCAGTGGCTGACCCTCGGATGTTGGGAATACAGTGCTCTCCTGTTGTTAGCATGAACGATTTGTCAGGGAATTTTACCCCTATAACGGGACTAGTCCAATAACCTTGGAAAGTCCACACAATCGGCAGGAAGGGGAGGTCAGTTGTCACGGATGATACCAATTGAAACAGCCACAAACATGGTATTATTGGTATTTATACAATTACATTCACCCACAACTACATACATATAACATATTCTAGTCACATTTAGAAATTCACAACAAACAGGACAGTCCAAACTTGTTTAACTTTAGTTACATCAAGGACATTTTACGTAAACGTCCTTGATTACATGTACACTCCATCTTCATATTGTCTAGCTCTTTGTTGGGCAAAAGCTTGCCACAGTTAAAGAATAGCTCCAATCAAGGACACCAATAAGGAACAAAGGGCTTCTTTTCACACAATCACCAATGATTGGGGGTTCTCACCTGGCCAGAGGGAAGTGATAACAGAGAAAGTGTATGACAATGGGGGGGGTGCAGGGGTGATAATAAATGGTTAATAGTGGACTCAATGCGGATTTGATGACGTGCAACAATTGAAAAATAATAACTACATGTATTCCTTTCATGTATTTCTGAGTCAGTGTGCCATTTACTTAGAAATATTTTCGTCTCATATCAGGTGAAAGCCATAATAGCTGATGTAATTATGCCATGCAATTTATAATGGATTGAATAGCAAATGGTTTGGGTTTTCAGAATTCTATGCAAATCCTAGGTTTATGCCAATGCCAGGGATGCAAACAGTTGGTGAGCACTGTATAATATTCACAAGTGTGAACACACATACTCTGACATGTTCAGACCATCAGAGTATAAGAATCCCATGTTATCTATTGTTGGCATCACACCACCCACCTTTCATGCATGGCGATGAGTTACAATGTTAAAATTTTATTGGAGTACGTAGTAGATGTTTTTAATAACATGTCTCAAACCTTTACCACAAGATACAATAAAAATCTCCAACTCATATTGACTTTCCTCTAGAACTACATTTAAATACCTATCTGAATTATAAGTAGAAAAAGTAGCTTCTGTCATACGCAAGTATACACCACATTTGTTCTATGCCACAGAACTTTACTTTGCCTAGTTGTAAGCTGTTCAAATGGTTCTGTACAGGCCTTTGCTAGTAAAGAACCTTTTGTCAAAATCATGTCAATAGACCAAATATGTCCAAAAATATAGCCACTATTTAACTTATGAGCAGTTTTGTGCATTCCTATGAGATTCAAAGTAGGCTCTGTGGGCTGATTGTGAGGATGGCAGTCAGATTCAGATTGAAGCAACTACTAATTTGCTCTTAACTGTTCATTGAATCAATTACTAAATCTTTGATTGGAACTGATGTTAACTGTGTACTGATAATCACACACTTCTTTCTGTTTGTGATTAGGTTAGTAACGTTTTTAAACATTAAATTTTTCATCGTATGCTTACAAAACAGTCACCAACGAGTGTAAAGAGAATCCATGTGAGCATGGACGCTGTGTGGATGAAGATGGTGGTTACAAATGTACCTGCTCACCTGGATGGACAGGAAAAAATTGTCATCAAGGTGATGCATTTGTTTATATATTTTCTAGTATAAGAACCGTTTATTGTCTAAACGAAATAGTAATACATGATATACATGCTAAATATTACAGGGTCGCCATAAAGATAATCATCATTTGGATGTTTTTCTTTTGCTTTACTCAATCATACCCCAGTAATCTTCTTTTATGAAGACATACATGTAAGTTTGCCGTCATTTGTTCCATAGACATAGACGAGTGTGTCCAAAATCCCTGTAAACATGGCGGATGTGTGAACCAAGATGGCGGATACAGCTGCAACTGTGACCTTGGGTGGACTGGCCAAAACTGTCAGCAAGGTGACGTCAACATCAAATGTTTGTGTAAAGCGTATTGTAGATATATGGTAGATTTCTTCAGAATTTGAATTGTGTATTCAAGATTTGTGAGAACATGAAATATGTGCGAACAAAAATGGTGGGTACATTGATTATAATCTGCTCTATTGTATAGACTAAAGAGCACTCTCGGCAAGCTATAGTATTTTTGCTGTCAGACAAATGTTGACATCTTAAAATATGTTTTTAAAAGTTTCTATAGATACACATATTAAGTCGTTCTTACATTTTATGTTACAGTTTGTTGAAAGTAGCCATTTTTCTATTTTTGCCACAGACGTGAATGAGTGTATTGGATACCAGAAATGTCTACGTGGACGCTGTGTCAACAAAGATGGTGGATACACATGTATGTGTTATCGTGGGTGGACTGGAAAGAACTGTCAGCAAGGTGATTTTAAAATCTGTATCTAGATGTAGTAAGAATATCCATGCGCTATGGAAGTTTTGTTTTCTAAATATTTTCTCTCCATCTTTCATTTCTGTTTTCTTTTATGAGTGTTTATTTATGTTACTCATGTAACATAACTTTGATTACCTAATTATATATCTTGGTATCTCAGATTTTAAATGCGTTTACCAAATTACCGCAGACATTAATGAGTGCGCCACAAATCCCTGTAAACATGGCGGCTGTGTGAACCAAGATGGCGGATACAGCTGCAACTGTGACCTTGGATGGACTGGACAAAACTGTCAGCAAGGTGACGTCAATATGAAATGTTTGTGTAACGCGGCTTATTGTAGATATATTGTAGGTTTCGTAAGAAGTTGAATTGTGTATTTTAGTTTTGTGAGAACATGAACTATGTGCGAACAAAAATGGTGGGTTCATTAATTATAATATGCTCTATTGGGTAGACTAAGAAAAAAAAAACACTTTCGGCAAGCTGAAGAATTTTGACACACAAATGTTGACACCTTTTTCTTGAGATATGTATTCAAAAGATTCCATAGATCCACATATTAACGATTCATAAGTAGTTCTTACATGTAGCCATTTTTTGTGAATATATATTTGATCGCCATTAAGATTATCAATCTTTGGATGTTTTTTTTCTTTTTGCTTTACTCATTCATAACCAAGTAATATTGTTTTATGAAGACATAATTTTCCCGTCATTTGTTCTACAGACATAGATGAGTGTACCAGGAAGCCATGCCAACATGGACGCTGTGTGAACAAAGATGGCGGATACAGCTGCATCTGTGACATTGGGTGGACTGGACAAAACTGCAAGCAAGGTGACGTCAATATCACATGTTTGTGTAAAGCGTATTGTAAATATATTGTAGATTTCTTCAGAAGTGGAATTGTGTTTTTAAGATTTGTGAGAACATGAAATATGTGCGAAAAAAAATGGTGGGTACACTTATAGTAATATGCTCTATTGGGTAGACTAAAGAGCACTGTTGGCAATCTGAAACATTTTACTGTTAGACAAATGTTGACATATTATCTTAAAATATATATTTAAAAGATTTTATAGATACACATAATAAATCTTTTATACATTTTATGTTACAATTTGTTAAAATGTAGCCATTTTAAAAACTTTTTCCCCCAGACATAAATGAGTGTATCGGATACCAGAAATGTCTACGTGGACGCTGTGTCAACAAAGATGGTGGATACACATGTGTGTGCTCTCGTGGTTGGACCGGAAAGACATGTCAGCAAGGTGATTTTTTAAAATCTGTATCTAGTAAAATAGATGTTTTTTTAATTATTTTTCTTTTATTCCAATTCTGCTTTTCAAATTGTCTCATTTTTTGTTATGAGTCTATATTTAGATCTTAAATGTCATAATCTTTTATTATCTTATTTTCTCAATTTCCACAGACATTGATGAATGCGTGACAAATCCCTGTCAACATGGCCGCTGTGTGAACAAAGATGGCGGATACAGCTGCAACTGTGACACTGGATGGACTGGACAAAACTGCCGACAAGGTGCCGCCCCGATCTGTCTATCTATCTATCTATCTATCTATCTATCTATCTATCTATCTATCTATCTATCTATCTATCTATCTATCTATCTATCTATCTATCCATCTATCCATATATGTATCAGTTAATCTATCTCTCAATCTATGTATCAGACCCAAAGGGACCACCTAATGACACTTCATATTAGGTACAGTTACAGCCCCGAGATCTGCATCAAATCTCGCGATATCTCCTACGGGATTTCAACGGATGACTTTCGGGGGTCAAGGTCAACTTGTACCTAGGATTCAATAATAAGAATAATAATTTAATTGTGCTTTGTCTTCTAATAAATACAAAAGTTAGGTTTCCAATTTTGCTTTTCTACCCATCTTTTGTTTTAATATATTTCAATTGCTACTACACAGACATCAACGAGTGCACCAAACTGCCATGTCAACATGGAGTATGTTTGAACAAGGATGGTGGATACAAATGCATCTGTGATTCTGGATGGACTGGGAACAACTGTAAACAAGGTATTTTTATGTAGACACTTTTATGCATACATGAAACGAAATTTTCTATAAAGAGTGTATTTCAATTAACCTTTTTTGTATCTTGAAAGTTCACCTTTGTTGGTAGAAATCATTATGGAGCAAATTTAAACTGTAATATCCAACACAAGAAATCGGGTTCGCCCAAATTTTCGACTGTACAAGTCCTGGCTTTGTCAATGATCCTTGACAAAGACTGGAGTTGTACAGTCAAAAGTTCGAGTGAGTCAGTTTAAACTTGCTCCATAAATTTTTTTTTGTTTCTTTAAATCTGCTTGTCTATATCATTCAAATATCAGTATCTTTCCGTATTATTGTATTATGAACTCTGAATAACAACATGGTTAGTTTTTCGGTACAAATTATGTGGGCATTGTTTATTTGTCGTCTGTATAACTTTAGAAGCTGCAAATATATCGTAAGGTAGATTTAGCATTTAGAGATATGTATAGAGGTTGAAAGACACAAGTTCTGTTGTGGAGAACTTTTTTTTTACATCTCCTGCTTTGTATAGTGGTAAAGTTCTGGGCCATGGAATCTTTTCTTGTAACTGCTCGGGACAATTATTTTTAAACTTTGTAAGGTTGTGCCTCAAAAAGGAATTGACGGATTGTCGTGAATTTTTGATATGCTGGGTACTTCCACTCCACAATTCATAATCATCTATTCTGCATCTTACTTTACAATGACTTTCTTGAATGTAAAATAGTTCCATTGTTTGTTCTATAGACATAGATGAGTGTGTCAAAAGTCCCTGTAAACATGGGGAGTGTTTGAACAAAGCAGGCGGATACACCTGTTCCTGTGACAATGGATGGACTGGGATCAACTGTCAACAAGGTGACGTTATTTTTATGTGAACACTATTGTGCGTGTGTGTATTTTTGTTTGTGTGTGTGTGTGTGTGTGAGTATGTGTGTGCATGTGAGTAAGTGTGTGAGTGTGTGTGTGTGTGTGTGTGTGTGTGTGTTTGTGTTTGTGTGTGTGTGTATGTGTGTGTGTGCGGAGTTGTAAATGCTTTTGTAGATTCCTCTAGGAATGGAAGAGAGTATCACAAATTCTGGAAACACGGAACAGTTCTAAACACCTCAATGCAAGCGCAAATTCTATTACGTCCAACAAATATCGGGATTTGGACATCGGCGGCATCCCAAAAGAAATACATATTTATTGCTTTGAGACCATTTAGTCTCCCTAATAAACATAATACAATATAGATCGGAGCAATTACCTAAGAATACAAATTGATTACCCCCATTGCCGTTTGAAATCAACACACTAATTTAAGCTATTACACAGCCAGCATTATCTAGAACTAAACATTTTCACTACTGATTGGAACTATATACATGTACATCTTAATTGTCTAATTCTATTATCGGACATTCCCCTTTTTATATTTTTGTCTCGTGTTGTAATTATAATTTAATGTACATTGGTAACGTTAATATAAACTATTTCACATGGATTCGTCACCACTATTTGTTGCTTTACTTAAATGTTGAAACTAACAAAACAATTGCCAAAATACCTGTTACTTATATTATTACGTTGGTAGAGGTTAGACATCCAGTTAATAAGATACGCCAAGAACAGTTAGTAAAGAAACTGGTTATAACTTTGGAAACGGACATTTTAGGTATCATCCACTACCTTTAGTCAGTGACACTGGATAAACCCTCAAATTATCAGTTTCAAAAGCACAGCATATTGATTAATATATAAATAGTTTTTTTTTCAAATTCAATAAGGAAATAAAAGTTAAACAAAGTCAAGCCAAGGTTTATACAAATTGGTAAGAGACCTTCGGTTTGACGAATACAGGTTGCTTGAGTTTTTTTTTCGGCTTAACTTACTTTATTGCTTTGTTTCATATTAGGTCCATGTCCTGTTCACTGGACTTATTATTACGGCTTCTGCTACAAGTTTTTTGGAGGAAGCAAGACCTGGTTTGCAGCACGGGAGGAATGCCAAAGCCACGGGGCAGATCTTATATCCATCACAAGCGCTGACGAGAACCAATTTCTTGCATTTCAAACTGAACGTCAAGGTACCACTTACCCTTAGAATTATGTCCATCTACCTACACATTATGTTAATCTACCTACACATTAGGGTAACTTGCAAATGTGTGTATGCACCTGTTTTGCCCTCCCTTTCACTTTGTGAAAAATGAAAATAAACAAATAAAACACGAATTATTTCCAGTCTAATATTTACATTCAGTCCATACCATGTCAAGGATGACATTTATATTTTTTACTTTTGTTGCTTCTTCTCTTTCTCCGTCTCCTGCCATTTGGTTAAAGTGATTCAACCCATTCATTTTCGGGCCAGAATTTTTGTATGGACTACACCAGGGCTTTGCAAAGACTTGTTACTGAAAGGCACTGTATGGGGTTTTTCGAAATATCTCACAGAAAAGTTTTAAAGTAGTATGAAGAAAACCGAGATATTAAGGAATATATAAAATGAAAATATTTCACATGTTGTCTTTTTATTGTTTTCTCCCCCCTCTCTTATTTTCAACTTAAAAAAAGTGCTGCTTATTTTACTGTTGACTGACAGTGGGTTTTATGGAATTAATACATGCATAATACCTTGACTGCTGCCAGGTTATAAGACATTGTTTTTCCTCCACTAATAACAGGCCTTACAAAATATCGTCCAATAATCTGGATTGGGCTCAAGAACAACAATGGGCAATGGATGTGGTCAGATGGGTCTAGTAACACCTACAAAAACTGGGCTTCTGGTGAACCCAACAACATGGGTTACTTAAGCTTTTCACGAGCGGAATGTGGCGGCATGTACTACATGGTAAATTCTTCAACTTTATCTTAAATAATGACAAACGTAATTAGTAAGTAACAGAATGAAGATGGCTATTCGTGATGCAGCCCAAAAACAGTTACTCAAGTAATTGGATATGACTTTGGAATCCGGAAACGGTCTGACTTTTTTTCTAGAATTTAATGCTTTTCGTCACTGTTTAGATATTTTTCATAATCAGCAGGTTCATAACCCCAAATTTCTAAATGATATGCAACTAAAATGAAGAAAATTAGTCGAAAATCAGTCCTATAATACGCAGAAGGTATTTCCTGAATGTTCAATCTTAAGTGACATAAAGTAATCGTTTTTTTTTTACTTCCCGATGATCTGAAGTATTTTGGAAAACTTAATATGTGATAAACATGTACTTTTTACATTTAGATATAATGGTACTTTTTGCAGATAATTTTCTTTTGTTATGTTTTGTGTAGCCATTTCATCATCATCATTATCAATCTAGTCATTAGGGTTATATTCACTTAATATGATTGCTTTTAATTGATGGGTGGTATAGATTATGGGCCAGTAACTCTGCATTTCATATGTAAGTTTTATATATCCGTTTTAATATTATTATCACCATATAGCCATGTGTAAATATTTAAAAATAACTTATTATCCCTTTATTCCAATAGACTATGAAGAACTGGGCCTTCGGACCAACAAACTACAGAGGACAGTGGACCGACCAAGTATGCACGGAGAAATGTGCCACCTTTTGTAAGAAAAAAGCTTAATTGCATGGGAATTTTTAGCCGTTAACGTTCTTTTATTTATTTATTTATTTCAACTTTATTTACATATGGTAAAAGGGCCATGGAAAAACAGGAGTGTCCTTTAGACTCCCTGACCAAAACTAATATAGAAATGTCCATTTCAATAAACAATATATACAAAGAAAATAGCAGTGATGGTAATTGTGACAAAAATACTGATAACATTAATTGTAACTAGAAAGGCCAATATTTGCTTTGGAGCAAATACAGCGATGGGTTCACCACATTTTACGACATGGCAGGGAAAGAATGGGAAACACAAGGGAAAACAATGATTTACATTGATATAACTATAATATGAAGTAAAATACAACTAAAACAACAGTTGGATAGCTATTCCCTACTTTATTGGTTAGGATTTTTAATTGCATAATGCAAACTGTTGATTTTCAAAATAAAAAAAAACGTTCATGCCCGGCATTCCACTGCTGGAGCAGGAAAGCTTGAAATACCTACCAAAACACTTGAATACAGACATACTGTCAGTATGGAAATGCTTCTGTGCAGGTGTTAATCAAGTTAAATCCCAACAGCCAATCAGCAAGAAGTATAGAGGAAAGCTGCATGCCTATTGGTTGATGCCCTGCATTCCATTGTGATGACTCATGTCCAAACGTGGTAAACAAGGCACCCTAACACAGTAATACATTTGCTATAACACAGCCAAAAAACTCAAATAAAACCATTCTAAAAGCCTGTATCATAAAAATTTAAAAACGCCTAGGGGTATTTGCCCACTGTACCTCCATACCAATTTTCAGGACCTTGGGCCCTAAAATGAAGAAGCTGAATCCATTTAAAAAATGGCAGGAGGAGAAGGAGAAGGAGGAGAAGAAGAAGAAGAAACATCAGAAAAAGCAATATGGTTTCACCACACCACGAAACAAAATGACAAAGTGAAAAAATGATCAAAAGAAGTCACAAATCAATAGCCAAAACAATTGAACAATTGAAACAACAATTGAGACAATAATTGAGACAACAATTGAAACAATAATTGAAACTACAAGTGAGACAATAATTGAGACAAGTTTTGATGATGCTATAGACATTCGATAAATCTTGTGAAATAAAGACTGAACTTTAACTTCCAACACTAGATATAGAATTGGGACTTACCCCAAATTTTCGGTTGACTCAATCAACCTTGTTCACGGAATGGACCCATCTATATCTAGTGTTGGAAGTTAAAGTTCAGTCTTTATTTCATAATGATTTGTACCAACACAGATTAACTTTCATGCTAAATTCGATAAATCTTGTTGCAAATAGTGTTCCTATGATGTTACAAGTGTTAACTATTCTTCTGACAAGCCATTAAGTATACCTTTCTTTAAGGCTGACAAAACCCCTACAATTCTAACGGTTTTCTTCTCTAGAGAAATTATTTCTAGAGAATGCGCATACACGTTATTTTTATCAAAATCCTCATCAGCTCAAATCAAAATGTTCGGGAACAGAAATGATCCAACTGATGTATGTATATGTTAAGTCAGCATTTGCTGATTATTGTTAGGCTGAGAACTTTCACTTTGCTTGATGTTAGAGCTTGATTTAATATTGATAGAGGGTCATAAGCCGCTTTTGGCATGAATTCCTCAATGATAACTACTCCAGAGTTACTGTTTTGTCAAGTGATAGCAAGTGCTTAGCTCCCTTTTCGAACACTTTTGTATATCACCCCATCAAATGGTATGGATGGAATATATTCTTTTAAATTTCTTACTGCATTCAGCATCCGTTCTCGTTTCCCTAAATATTCATAGAACAGCGAACCTAAGATCTCAAGATTACGTCTAAAATATTGAGATCTTTGGAATACATCTTGAGATTTTTCCATTTTGAACGAAGCGTGAAGATCCCCAATGGGAGTATTTATAATCCGCTATGTAACATAGACGTTTTTGAAAAAAAAAGATTGGATATGTACCTCTAAGCTGTAAACAGCCAAAGACATTAGTCCAAAGTGCTATCCTCAGTCCAATAATAATCTGCTCGCTGTTATAGGTTTTTGCTTCTGCTAGTAACTTGCTTACTCATGACTAAGAATAATTTTTACTGTTAGTGTTCTCTGTTATAAGAGGACTGAGTCTGGCGATTTATCATTTTAATTTACTTGTGCTTGGTAGAGTATCTTCAGTTGTATAATGGGCCCGAGAAAGGGACACACTGTTTCCTACTTTAATCAAATAAGGGCTCATTGGGAGGCCTAAATCTAGAAATACACAC